GGGGAAACCAGCCAAAGCGTGCAAGTGGCTTCTTACAACTGCATGGGAATCTAGTCATCCCAATACAGCCGTTTTATTTTTAAAAATACAGGAAAAAGCCCTGCAGAGAGAGAGGAGAGTGTCCCTTTTGTCTTCAAGGGTCTCAGATTCTGCAAGTCAAAAGCTAACGCATCTCCTTGCTGCCCCAAACCCAGACGAAGGAGGTGGCAGAACAGCGCTGCCAGTGCTGCTCTCAACGGATTCTTTCCTTGCTGTCTGGGCTACAGTTCAAAGATGTAGGGGGTGCAAAACAGGAGTCTGGCCCTGCCCCCTCCCCAGAAAACCCCACCTGCAGCACAACACAGTCAAAGGGCTAGAAACATATCCACAGATCAGGCTGAACCTGTGCCTTACAGCAACACACAAGCAACACAATTACAGGAAGGCAACTGTGTACTTATTTGATGTTGTCTCCCTTAGTAGGTTGTAGTTCAGGAAGGAAGCAAGAGGCTTCAGTAAGTTCTGTTTGCTGTTATTTCCTATCACTGTGCTGGGCACCTAGCTGGTACCCAAAACATAGCTATTAGATGTCTGCTATTGAAAATAAAAATGAAAGGCTCACAAGTCTGTTAAAGTTAGTGTGGATTCTCTCTTTCTTCCCTCCCAGTCTCCCTTCCCTACTGCCTCTTCACCCACGACAGGTAGGTGCTAAACACCCTCAGGGAGACCTACACAGAAACAGGTGTCCATCAGCGGTGGATGGCTGAAGAAAATGTGGCATATATGCATTAGGGGGCGCTCCTCAGCCATAAAGGAGGATTCCATCATTTGTAGGAAAATGGATGCATCTGGAGAACATAGTGCTAAGCGAAATAAATCAGACACCGAAGGTTAAACATCACATGGTTTCTCTAATCTGAGAAATCTAAAATATAAATAATTAACAGAGTCGGGGGGGAGGGGGAGGGCAGAGGACAGGAACGGCTGACTGTGGAAATCAGAACGATCCTGGGAAGTAAAGGAGAGGGAGAGAGACAGGGAGGGAGAGGGAGGGGAGGGGGAAGGGAAGGAGGAGTAAACACGAGCAAGATGCAATAAGCACAGGAGCCAGTTCCCCAAGACAAATGCATACACTATAAAGAACAGCGGTTTCTCCCAACTCCAAGCCAGGCAGTCGTCTAACTGGAGCCTCCTCGCCTGTGAAATGAGGACGAAACAATCTCCTTCAAAGCACCGCCATGAGGATTAAATGAATGCCTATTCGTCGAGCACTTAGCACACGTCTTGCAAACCTGTGCTAAATCGGAGAGCAACGCTCGCGTTAGCCGAGACCTCAGAGGGCAAAGGCCTAGTTGTCGGCAGAGTTCCTTTCCCTTAGACATGAGCCACAAGCTCCAGGGTTCCAGCCGACCGACACTGCTGACCCTCTGTCTAAAATATATGCCCTTGGGTTTGATAATTCACTAAAATAACTCCCAAAATTCAGGAAAATACTCTACTTACAATTCTAGCTTCTTCTCAGGACCAGCCAAACGGTGAGAGGTCGGGGAAGGCCTCACATGTGAAATATTCAGCTTCCTGTTGGCGCATGGACATGGAACTACCAGCCAGGAAGTTCACCTGCTCTCCAGTGCCCAGAGTCCTTCATTAGGATTCTGTCATGTAGGCGTGGGTGATCAAATCATTGCCGTGTGTCTGAGCTCTGTGCCCAGCCCAGTGCCCCTCTTCTCCCCAGAGGCAGTGTTGATCATGTTACCCAAAGCCCCAGCCTTCCAGTCACATGATCAGTCTTTCTCCCATGGCCAGCCCACATCCTGATACCTAGGCACCCACCGTGAGTCACCTTGTCAGCTGTCCCCCATAGCTGAGGCTTTCAGGGAAGTAACTGGGTCAGGGTGTGCGATACCACTGGATTAGTCCACTGAGGGGTTTGTAGCTGGACATGATGTTGGGAGGTGAAGCCTGGGGGAAGAGATAGGTCACTGGGGGCGTGGCCTGGAGGGGTGTTGTGCATATGTGTGTGTGTGTGTCTGTGCATCCTTCTCCTACCTTGATGCCTCCCTCACTGCTTCCTGCCTCCTATGCCATGTCATTCTCTTTTGCCATATTGTCCATCGCCCCTGCCTTGGAGCCAGCCTGAAACCTCTGAACTGTGAGCTGAAATAAACCTCTCCTCCCTTAACTCGAAAATGTGGGGTGTTTTGTCCCAGCAATGAGAAAGTAACTGAGACATCAGCCTAAACTCAGATGTGGTCTGGAGCCCACCATGAATAGCAAAGACACTCTCATCACTTGGGAGATTCCAAAGACTTAGGGGTTGTCTTTCATGGGCCCTCTGAACTTAGGGGCCAAATTCTTTACATAATGAAAGCTTACTAAATTGATAGGCAGAGGAGCAAGGAAAGCATTGCACAAAGGGAACACCTAAAAAGAAAGGTAGGAATATTTCTGGCACAGAAGAGGGAAGACCTCTCCCCTCCCACCAGCTGACTGGCTTTGGCTATAGTGCAATGCAGACCTTGAGTCATAGCCTTGGCTCTCGTTGGGCTATACACAGATTGTGAACCACATACAATCCCTTCTAAGAGAGGTGGGTGTGATTTAAATACCCACATACACAGTAGATTAAAACAGCAATGATTTTTATTTCTCCAAACACTGTGGGTTGACTTGGTAGCTTCTGGCACCATGTGCAGTTCACATGACTCCACTGAGCTGGCTGGTAGCCAGACTGACAGCCCCAGGAAAGTCTCCTCCTATGTCTGCAGCCCATGTGTTGACCGCTAGAGTTTCAGGTCTTGCCCCTGCGCCCTCTCTGTGCTTGTAATGCCTCAAGGCCTTCTTCTGGCTGTCCTTGTTCAGACAGACGGCCTGAATTCCAGGCAAAAGAGCAAAGGTGGAAAGCTGTTGGGGCTCTTAGGGCCCCAAACTGGCCCAGTACATATTTTTCCCACCATCTTCTGTAGGTCAAAGCAAATCACAAGGCCAGCCTAGGTTCAGGGAGGGACCAAAAACCTCATCTCTTAACGGGAGGAGCAGTGTGCTCCAAGTGTGTATAGGGAGGGCAGGACCCACAGCAGCTATCTTTGGAGACTCTACCATTTTCACTCACCTTCCATTTCCTCCTCTGGAAATGGGGGTTTTAATTCAGGTGGCCCTTCTTAGCTACAGGTTCTATATCCTCAGCTTCAACTAGCCATGGATGGAACATTTTTAAACATTATATTGTTGCTGACATGCACCATACAGTTAGCTCTATGGTGGCTATGTCTGTACTGAACTTGTACAGAGCTCTTTCCTTGTCAATATCCCTTAAATAATAGAGTATAAGAAGTATTTCCATCACATTTACATTGTGTTGGGTATTATAAGTGATCCACAGATGGTTTAAAGTCTACAGGAGAATGTGCATAAGCTCTATGCAAACAGTATATTGTTTTATATAAGGAACTTGACCACCATGATTTTAGTTTCCAAGAAGGTTCTGGAACTGATCTCCCTCAGCTCCTCAGAAGAATGTAAGGATTGATAAGTACATGGTATATGATGCATGATGGCATGTTATACATTTTAAGGTGCTAAATAGAAGATATTTGAATGGTGAGTAAAATTGGAGTAGGACATGTAGTGCTTTAAAAGTGGGTAGATGGGGTTATTATAATAAAAATATTTTGGAGGCATTTACCACAGCCCAGACACTGTACAAACTGCTTTACAAATATTCTCTTCTTTAATCATCATGACAACCTGAGGAGATAAGCAAGATAAATTTTGTCTTGTAATTCTACAGAAAAGTAACTGCAGGTTAGTGGCAGAGCCAGAATTTGAATCCAGTTCTGTGTGGTTCCGAAGTTTGAACCACTGTAGCCAGAACTTCTTTTTATCACTTAATACATAATCAACTGGCAAATTTTGGAAGTGGAACCTAGAAGTATTTTTATATTTTTATTTTTATTTTTGAACTCGAGATTGAGTTCAAAAAGGCCTTTCACACTGAGCTACACTGCAAACTTTTTATCTTTTATTTTGTGGGTCTCATTGAGACACCAAGTTGGTTGGGCTGGGCTTGAATTTGTGATCCTCCTGCCTCAGCCTCCCAGAGTGCTAGGATTACAAACATGGGTCACAAGCCAAGCTGGACATTGCATTTTAAAAACAGCGTTTTAATGCAGGGGAAGTACTTAACTTCACTGTACTATAGTGAACCTCCTCAGGTTGCTTAGTAGTTTAAAGACACTAAGGAAACAGGCTCAGGGGAAATTCAGATTTGCAGAGCAAAAAGGGACTAAATAAGCAAAGTGCCTACAAGTGGGAAGAATGAGTGGCTTTTAAAAATATTACGCTTTCTAGAGGTTGATGATAAGGCTGAGAAAATGAAAGAGCAGAAAGGTTAGAAGCCAGACCCAATTATTCACAGTCAACCAAGTTTACATCTTATTAAGTCATCTGGTTTATGCTTCTTTGCATTGGGGATTATTACTTCCTCTGCTAGGAAACTCCAAGTTCTTCACTCACCCCGACCAGGGCAACATCTCCTCCCTTCAGGCCTGTTTTGCCCTCTCTGAGAAGAAGCCTTTCCTGACCCTTCGTCCCCAGGTGCCCCACATGCATGAGGGCCTTTCCCACATCCTGTCAGTTCCACCTCCTGCGTGGTAAATGATGATTTATTTTCCTTCTCCAACTCTAGGCTGTGAGGCCCGTGAGAGTGAGGACTGTTCAGGAAAAGGGGAGGAAGGAAAAATGCAAGATGACTCCTAGAATCACAAGATGAACAAAGGAGGTGAAGGAGCCACCAGGGAGGTGCACACTTGTTGAGAGGACAAGATGATGGCGATGCAGCTTATCAAAGGCAGCAGTGAGATACATGGCAACAGTTCAAATCAGCCAACAGACCAGTCCCTTTCATAACTGCATGTATTTTACTTTATCCATATAACAAATGGTTGAAATTCTGTAAGAAACATGGTTCCTTGCTAAACCAGGTGAAGAAAAATAATCCGGCCTATCCTCGCCTTACCTACCTTACAGAGTAGCCACCGAGCATGAGAACAGTGGTAGCAGATAAGGCCAAGATGGACTGATTGGGGCTGGCATTTTTGATCTCTGGTTTTCAAGGCTTATTATTTTCCAGCTAGGTCTTATGTTCTGGGAAAGAGGGAATAAGATGACCTTAACTTTCAAGCACCTTCTAGCCCGGGGGCCTCTGCCCTCATCCAGCATGGCGGTATCAGCTACTGTCTGTTCTCATCCCCAGACGCCCTTCCGGAACTGTCTACTAAATTGACTCAACTTCTCCGACGCCCTGAGATGACGCAAAAGCGACCGAGCGCCTGCAACTCGGCGGGCGCAGGTTTGCGCAGGCGCGGCGAGGCAGCGGGTGGGCGGAGCCGGTCGGGATGAGTGGCGCGGGGACAGAGACCCCTGTGGGTTGTGAGGCCGCCCCGGGTGGCAGCGGCGGCAAGAAGAGGGACTCGCTGGGGACTGCGAGCTCAGCGCACCTCATTATCAAGGGTACGGAGCGCGGGGCTGTCGTCCCTGGTGGAGTCCGCTCAGCCCCTCTCCCCAGGCGGCGCCCGCTGCCCCGGGCGACCCCGTTTCGGGCCGGCGCGCGCGTCGTGCGGGGCGGGAGGGCGTCGCGGGTGGTTCCGCCCCTCTCCCGCGCCCGACGCTTCCCGGCCAGCGCCGCCGCCGCCGCCCGCTTCCGTCGCTTCCTCGGTGACCTGTGCGGTAGCCCTCAGCGCGGGGGCCGCCTCTGTCCTGTGCTTAAGTCCAGGACCCCACAGGAGGGCGGGGCTATTTTGGACAGCCTCGAGACCGACTAATGCGGGGGCGCCGAGCCCGGCCTCGGACGGAGTCTGCGGCCCCGCCTTCCCCTGCCCCCTGGCCCAGTCTCTTGGTCCTCGAGCGACTTCCGGTCGTGACCTTTGCCCTCTTCGACCCTGTCTGCCTCTGGGTCGTGCCAGGAAGGAGGAAAGGGCATAACACCTGGGAAAAAACCTGGAACACCTTAAAGCGCGTACACGCGCACGGACAGCTGTCTGTCCGTCTGCTTTGAGCTGGGAGGAAGGTTACAGCCCAGACAGATGCTCACAGAACCTGCCCTAGGCTTGACTCGCAAACCCCACAACCAGTCTGCCTCCTGCGGGAGGTCTTTGCCAGTGAGATGCTGCAGTTTTTTCATTGCCAGCCGCCTTTAACGCAGTTTCAATCCCACCATCTCTGTGTACAGATATACTCAAAGTAGACGTTGGTCGCTGCCAGCGTCTTTACAGCCTCATCTCGGATTTGTAGGCAGCTTCAGCCCAAGTTGTGCCTGTTTAGACATGGTGTTTCAAGTCAAGACATAATATAATTAGGATTGCGGAACTGTCACATGAATATTAGGGCTAAATTATTTGTGCAATCTTAGTGAAGTATTACTTTAAATTGTTTAGCAATTACGGTCAAACAACGAAATTTATCATCTTAACTCCTTTGAGATGTACAATTCAGTGCCTTTAAGTACATTTACATTGTGCTCTCGTTACCTCTGTCCATCCACAGGAAGCTTTTGATTTTGCAAAACTGAAATTTGGAATCTATTGAAATAATGCCCCACTCCCTGCTGCCCACTTCTGCCAACCCCTGGAAACTACCTACCGTTCTATTTCTATCTGTAAACGTACCTTCTCTGAGTGGAATCCTGGTCTCTGTCCGTTTGTGACTGGCATTTTTAACTTACAATATTCTAAGTGTGCATCCATGTTGTAGCATGCCAGGAAACTTTTTTTTTTTTTTTGTCTTTTTAGGACAGGGTCTCGCTATGCAGTTCAGACTGGCCTTGAGCTCACTTTGTAGCCCAGGCTGGTCTTGAACTCTCAACGATCCTCCTGCCTCAGCCTCCCCAGTGCTGGGATTACAGGTGTGCACCACCACGCCCGGGGGTGGGAGTGGGGGGAGGAGGGGGGGAGGGCATTGTTTTTAAGACTGTATATTGTAGTCCATTGTATGTGTGTATCACACCTTATCAGTTCATCTGTCGGTGGCAGCTCTGTGTCTTCCCGCTATTGTGAATAATACTGCCATGGACATGAATGTACGAGCATCTTTTTGAGGCTCTGCTTTCAATACTTTGGGATATACATACACCCAAAAGCAGAATTGCTGGAGCATATGGTAATTCTATTTTTAATTTTTTGAGGACTTGTCATACTGGCTATACCATTTTACATTCCCACCAGCAGTCCAAGCATTCCAGTTTCTCCCTGTCCTCTCCAACATTTGTTATTTTGTCTTCGGTAGTAACGGTCCTACTGGGTGAGGTGGTGTCTCTTTTAATTTGCATTTCCCTAATGATGATAATAAGCACCTTTTTATGTACTAAGTGACCATTTATATCTGTTCTTTAGAGAAATGGCTGTTTAGTTCCTTTGTTCATTTTTTTAAAATTAGGATTTCGGTTGTTATTGTTGAGATGTAGGTCTTTCTATATTCTAGGTCTTACCCCCCCTACACACTTGAAAAGTAGTTTGCAGCTCTCCTGTTCCATGGGTTACTTTTTATTTTGTTGATTGTGTCCTTTGACACACAAAGATTTTAAATTTTGAGGTAGTACTTTTTAAAAAACATTATCCAGTGCTACATTTTATACTTATAATTTCTTAAGACCATAGATCTTAGGTAGTCTTACCATGGGGGAATGATAACTGTGTATGTGAAGTGGTGGATGTATATTAGCTGGCTTAATCATGGTAATCCTTTCAGAATGTATTTGTATCAAATCATCTTTTAACCTTAAATGTATCAATTTTTATTTGCCAAATTAACTTATGCCCAAGTATACCTGGCAGAAGAGGGGAGGGCTAAAAAAATAAAAATTAAAAGACAAGACACGATACAGCAAGAGAACAAGAAAAAGGGATCAAGGGAAGTTTTTCAAGTTACTTTGAAATGACTTATAATCAGAAATATGTCTGAAATATCATTGGTCTTTGTTGTTATTTGGGTTTTCTTTTTTTTTTTTTTTTTGAGAGGGTACTGGAAATGCCCAAGTTACTTTGAAAATGACTTATAATCAGAAATATGTCTGGAATATCATTGCTCTTTGTTGTTGTTTGGGTTTTCTTTTTTTTTTTGAGAGGGTACTGGAAATGGACCCCAGGGTCTCACATGTGCTAATCAAGCCCTGTACCACTGAGCCATAGCCCAGGGAACATTTAGATAGAATTTCAGTACTTAAGCCCTAAGTATTTGAAGCTTGGGGCACGTGCCTGGATTTTGGAGGAGAGGCTGGGGAATGGGAGGCTTCCTGGAGGATGGACTATGTCGTCATGATTGTAAAACATGCAGTGTTAGCAGTTGAGAAGAGACAGCAAGCCTGGAAGGTAAGTGTCCGGCTCAGGCTGGCTGTGAACTCCTGATCCTCCTACTCAGCCTCTTGAGTTCCTGGCATGTAGGTGTGCACCACCACACCCAGCTCTCCTGCAGTTCTTTATGTTTTTTATTGCTTTTGTGTCATTCTGAGAAGTGTCATTTTGCATGTCTTTGAAGTTTGTGTAAATGGCATTCATCCTTCTGAAACTTGTTTTTTTAATTTAGTGTTTTACTTATGAGTTTTACCCATGTTGACAAGTGTAACTCTGGTGTGTTTTTCGTTTTGTTTTATTTTTAAGGTACTGGGACTTGAATCTAGGGCCTTCACGTTGAGCTACATCTCCAGCCCATTTTATTGTTTTATTTTGAGACAGGGTCTTACTAAGCTGTCAAGTTGTCCAGGCTAGGTTTTAACTTGTGATCTTTCTGCCTCAGCCTCCCATGATGTGTTAATTTTTATTTGCTGATTTATAGTACCCCACTATATGAATGGAGTACTATATAGGAATTTTTCTGTTTTTTTCTTGATATGGAATCTGTGTTTAGTAAATATTTACAAATGCCTTATTTATTTTGTGAAGTTTTTACTAGGTTATATATCTAGGCATGAAAATGTTAGATATATACTGGTATATCTTTAGCTTTATGAGATATTGCCAAATTGCCCTCACAAGTAGTTCCAATTTATATACCTGCTAGTCTTCTAATCTGTGGCCTAAGCTGAATTTTAATTTGTCTTCATCTATTCATGAGGAAGAAGAAACAAAACAAACGAATTAAATTATGCCACTTAGTATGGATTAATCCTGAATTCATTTTATTGTTACAGATCTTGGAGAGATTCAGTCAAGGCTCTTGGACCACAGACCCGTTATTCAAGGTGAAACTCGTTACTTTGTAAAGGAATTTGAAGTAAGTCCCTAAAACTTACTTGTAAAATTACTGCCTTAATTGTTAATGTGTAATATTCAGAAAGGACATGCTCTATTTTTAAAATCTGGTTTCACTTCATGCATTTATAGAAAATATAAAACAAAAATTACGAGAAGATGAAAATACTTTTAATAGGATGAGTATGAGACCAGACAGGAGCAGACTCGGGTTCACGTTCTGGTGCGTCCTCTAGAGTGTTTAATGTGTATTGATCATAACTTTTTAATCTGTGAAATGAAATACAGTGAAAGAACTGTAGAGATCAGTGGGCCCAAGTTTTCCAGACCTATTTGCTCTGTGTGTTTCTCATTTGAGGAATCGGCACTCATCAGGCACTCGGGTTGATACTTGAGGATCCTCACCAGTTCCAGCCCCTTTTCAGGCCCAAGTTCAGTGCCCAAGGCTTGTAGATGTTACCTCACATAGAAATTTCATTCTGACCGGTACGTCTCAGCTGAGTCAGATCCAGTTTCACCCTGCTGCGAGTGATCAAATATTATTTCACTTTTAAAATCCTTTGATAGTATTTGCTAGTTACAGGGTAAAGTTCTTCTAATATCTGCCCCTTCCTTGCTAGCTCTACCAGCTGCCACTCTTCACCTTGCATGCTGTTCCAGCAATGTGACATCCTGTTTCCTGTATACTCTCTTCATTATGTATTCAATCACAACTTCTCAAGCTACCATTAGGTAGGTGGTGAATGATGTTGCACAGTGTTATGATTCTGTGCAAGTGAGCTCCTATTTGTAAACGAGGTTTTGACCTCGCAGGGTGTCTAAATGTGCCGAGGGCAGAGAACCTTTTACTAAACCCATAAAACTGCAGAAATCCCACGCTGTAGTGTACACAAGAGAGACAGAACTGTAGCATTAGACTAGTTTCTGGGTTCAGCAGCCTGAATAACTGAAAACCTGAGTATCTAATACTTTACAAGATTGTGAAGAGTAAAGATGTGACCATGTGTGCATGTCGGGGCACTTGTATCTTAGGGTATCGTGTGGTACCTAGGGATAATTATCAGCCATTTTGTATCATAGCATCATTATTGTGGGATAAGAGTAATATAGGACTCACAGGAAATTAGACTATTCTTTACATGCTGTGAAAGGGTTATTACCAATTCCTTAGTGAGAATAGAGTGAAAATTTCTATACATACTTGTTGTGGTCCTTTGTACTGTGGTGTGTAAATATGCTTTTAGCCCCTAGAGGGTTTTTTCAGTACTGGGGCTTGGAGTGTGCTAGGCAAGGGTTCTGCCACTGAGCCTAGTTGTTCTGAAGTGTGGGAATTGTAGTAGACTCTGCTTTCCCTTCACGCCAGCAACCATAGTACCAGCAAGCATTGTCTGTAGTGTACTGTAAACCTTTCTGCTTATCCGTTTGCCACTCCCCCTCCTCAGTCAGCTCACCATCAGCGCTCCCCTGGACAGCTGCAGGGGCTCCCGTGTCAGCCTGTTCGCTGTGAAATAGTCCCATACAGTCACCAGATGATCCATATATCTGATCGTACCTCACCGTTGCTCCCCTGCCTTTCATGGCGTCTCTTCACACTTGCAGTACGATCTAGCTCCTTAATTTAGGTCCAGGAGGATCACTGGCTCCTTATGTCTTTCCTACTTTATTGCACACAGCTTTGTACTTAACTGTGCTCCATCTGCACTTCCTTTTTATCACATCACGGTTATCCCTGCATCATGTATCAGCCGTTCCATCTTTACAAAATGTTCCTTCTCCCATTGTTTGCATGGCTCAATTTTTTTTGTTAGATTGCAGGCTAAATATCACCTCTGATCCTTTCATTCAAAGTAGCCACCATGGTGTTCTATCATGTCGCTGTCTCTGATGCTCTATATAACACCATATTTGTTTTCTAGTACCCTGTAAGTAATTACCACAAACTTAGTAGCTGAAACAGTACCCATTAGTTCTGTCATCAGAAGTCCGGGCACACTTTGGCCAGGACCTCATCTCAGTATGTCACAAAGCTAAAATTGAGGTATCGGGCCATTCTCACTGGGACACAGGATCCTCTTCCAAACTCCCACCATTGTGGCAGGGCTCAGTTCCTTTCTGTGGGGGCCACTTTCAGCTTACGGAGGACACCCATAGTCCTCCTGTCTGGCCCTTTCCATCCATAAAGCCAGAAGTGTAGAGTGTCCCTTGCTTGGAATTTCTCCATGCTTCAGATCTCTCTGACCCAAGAGAGCCCAGTTTCTATTAAAGACTCATCTGCAAGTCAGGCCCATGAAGGTAATTTCCCTTAAAGTCATCTGATTTGAGATCTTAACTACATCTACATAATCCCTTCACAGTGACACCTAGATTAGGCTATGGTTGAATTAACTGGACAGGGTATGTGTGCATGAGTGGTGGGGATCTTAGGGACCACTTAGAATTGTGCCTGCCACAAGCCCTCAGAACTGCCTGACACTATACTGTTCTTCTTATTTACTTGTTTGTCCCCTTGTCTTCCACTGCTAGAGTGCGGGGACGTGAGAGTAGGGATTTCTCTGTAACATTCTCAGTTGTATTCAAAATGCCTGAAACAGTAGTGGCTGGCACCTTCTAGGTGTTTAATATGATTCAAAAGAACAGATTTTGGATTAAAACTTGGGTTTTCTGATATCCAGTCCCATTTTTCATAAGTGATCTTGTTTGTCTACTCAACCTGAAATACCAAATAGTTTTATTAAAATAACATTTATAAGTATACCTCTAATGATTCAAATTATATTAAAAGAAGCATAGAATTTTGGAATTAAGATGGGTTTTTTAATCAAGTTCTCCCCCTTGAGAGAGAGAGAGAGAGTTCAGAGATGGGACGCAATAGTGAAAAGTCAAATAGCTAAATTAGTGGTATTCTTTAAATAATGTAGATGGACCTGAAGATACAACTGTAAAAGGGCTACATGTATGAAACTGGATCGTGAAAGGAAATGAAAAAAGTGCTACTTTTAGCTTCTGAATGCCATATTCAAGATGGCTTCTTATGGAAGCCAACACCTCTTTAACTGGGTGAGAAGATGCCAAGACAACATGGGTATGTATCTGAGAGTCTGAGGGAAGAATTACCTGCATTCTGCACTGCTAAGCCCTCCAGGGTCCTTTTGAAGAGGACGGGATATGGAAGGGTAGGAATGTGTGTTCAAATCTTGGCACTCCTCCAGCTAGTTATGATTACTTTGCTCTACGAGGCTGTTTCTTCATTAAAATGAGAACAATAACATATACTGTACAGTTTTTGAGTTTATATGAGGATTAAACAACATACCATTTTTAAAGTATTATATAGTGTTAGATGTTTCTATTGTTAAGGGAAAGATGATAAAAAATAAAAATGTAATAATTCAGAATTTCAAAAATTTAAATGAATTTGGGTTTAATTTTTAATATCGCTAGGGAAAATAGGGATAAGTGACATAAGCATTATCTTAGAAAATGTTTGCTAAATAATAAAATTTTCACATTGGGTGGGTACGATAGATACAAGGTTATTATACAGAGTCAAACACAATATGTTTAGCATTGTGAGGCATGAAGCTTGTGTAAGGCGTGGTGTCAGGAACTGAAGCTAGATCAGTGACTAAGCCACATAGCCTTATCCACGAAGCAAGGCATCCCCTACGGCTTTGAAGAAGGAACCCTGTTGTTGATGTTCTTCAAATGGCTCAACAATACCTTGTTAGGGTTGAATTGCATTTCTTGAAGAGCATTTGATCCTTTCACACAGTGACCTCCCCGACTGGTCTTTCTGAGGGTTTAGAGTAGCGCAGGAATTTTCCTGCACATCAGGCTCAGCACTGTTGTCTACATGTTATTTTCTAACATTTCTTCTCCAGGTAGGAGAAAAGCTGAAAGCATTTTAGAAATGGCATGTTTGAATATATATGGTATAATAAAAAAATACAACAAATGTTAAAATTTTTTTTTTATTTTAAAGATAAAAGGAGGGAAACATTAACAGACATACAACATTTTACAACATATGTTAAAATTTTTTAAAAAAATTTTAAAAGATGCATTGCCTTTAGTCTTCCTCAAAATAGTTTTGTAAAAGATGCATTGCCTTTAGTCTTCCTCAAAATAGTTTTCCTTGCATTGAACACACTTATTCCATCATTTTGCCACCTTCCGAAGCAGTCCTGCAAGTTCTCTTCCGTGTCTGTAGTTGTGCCGTTGTAGTTGTGTCGATGTCCTGAGCTGATGCCCAATTTACCCCTCATGGTCGGTTTAAGCCTGCGGAGGAACCAGTAGAATGATGGCAGAATAAGGTGGGTGAGCCACTGTAATGTTTCTATTTGACAGAAATTACCATAAATGCTTTCAGTCAATTCATGACAGCTGGGCAGCCACAACAGCCACTAAAGACACGGAAGAGGACTTCCAGCACTGCTTCAGAAGGAGGTAAGAAAGACGGGATAGGTGTGTTCAAAGCAAGAGGACTATTTGCTCTATAAGCATCTTATAAATACTTATTGATTTATAAGGGGGGAGATTAAAGGCACTGTGTCTTCTACTGCAATACATTTTAAAATTTTTTATTTAAATGGTCACCCTAGTTTTTGATTACACCACGGATATCTGCATTGTTTACACCTCTTGTCTGTGGTGGCCCAAATAGTAATATCCTGTTTTTAATAATATTGGTCTTTGCCCAGAGCAGCCTGGCTGGACAGGGCACAGCGACAGAGCAGAACCGTCAGCATCTCACATAAGCTTCGTCTCTGTGCCGTGTACATGTAGTTCATGTTAAGGAAAACTGGCTAGCTTTTAAAACTGAAGTGGGTTGTACATTTAAAAGAGCTAATGTATACAGCAACAGTTACCTTTTTCTTTATAGAATTTTACTTGTCAAAGAAGACAAGTGCCACATGGTGGCAGCATTTCTTAAATTACTGAAGTACTGTTAGGTATTTTAAGCTTTTTGTTTTCATTAGGATTTAAGGACAGTTGACAGTCTGTCTCTTGACTTTATTTTAT